CCTAAAATAACTTGGTCCTAAAACACACAATGAACATTCAAAAGCTTGACATCCAAAGGAAGCCAACCAGTTGTTCATTACATGGTAGTAGTTGTTCCTTAGACAACAAAAGCTAGAAAACCTAACAAATATAAAAGTAGTCGATTAGATACACATCCTAACAAATAAAAGTTGTTGATTACAAGACGGCCTAACATAGTAACCCATTACATTGCATGAGTCGACTTCCAAACAATCATCTATGAAGATCATTAAATGGGGGTTGATAAAAAATAAATCGAATCATGGTCAGTCACGCCTAAGGTTGCGTACGTGGGTGGGGGCTGACTTCTCTGAACAACCACATATGGTTAATGCCACCTATGGGATGCCCTCTCCTCCATTAAGCTGGAATAAAGCAATGGTGTGATTGGCAACATATACATCACAACATGAAATGAACCTCATATAAAATCAAGAAATGACGTGATTATCAACATACTTACCCTAACATATTGGTTTTCAGCCATCACGTCTACATAGACTCCTACTCCAGTTGTTGCAACTCGCAACTCCCGTTCAATAGTCCTTTGATCACCAACATTTAGCCTAACATCATACACAATATCAACAAAGATATCATAACCACATTTCAAAAACCCTAACATAAATCGATTCATACACAACCAACCTTATATGTATTCCCTTGGGCCTTAATTAAGAGGACAAGTTCTTGCATTGTGTGTATTCCCACCACAATTTGAGCATTGAGCAACCATTGGCCTCTTTCTAGTGTTTGCTGTAGATTGTTGAGTAGCACGCTTTCCTCTAGGTCTGAAGGTGTTTCTCCGTCAATACAAGTAAGTGGCAGTACTTATCAGAATTTGTAACATGTTGCAATGAAATAGGTAAAAAAAAAAAAAAGAGAGAAATGATTAAAGGAAGCCTCATCGGTGCCTCGGCAGTAGTGAGTGAATTACAACTTTATGACCCTCTCCACCACTTTACAGCAATGAATTACAGTACCCTTCTCGAAACTTCCTCACCAATTTTGTTAGCTTGAGGTCGAATCTCAAACTCTTGAGAAGCCTTCCTTCTATTCTATTTTGGCCTTCCAGACATTCTTCTTTTCTTGGAAGGCAGTACTGGAAAACCCGAGGCCTCAGGACATGCCTATCTTCAATCCAAACAGGGGATGCTCACCTTGTATGCATTTACCACCACATGGGATATGGGAATGGTATTAAGGATGGACGTAGTAATCAACCTCCTTCCTCAAGTGTTTAATTGTCGAAACAACATGACAACACAACAAACGACTCAAAGCCCAGTACCCACAAGTGTAGGTCCTAGTATGGAGGTCCACTGTGTACTCTGAATCCCCCGTCCTTACCTCACACTTATCATCTAAGGTTTGCATAGAGGTGCACAACCGAGCGAGAGCCTTCTCTTTCTCGATCTTTTTCCTAATTATCGGGCACAACAAATCGAACGTCTCCCCTAATATTTTATTCTTAATTACAACCCTATCCATCATGTAACCCCTAATCCTGGATTTTTTTCCAGAAATACCACTGAAAAAGAAAAACAATTCCAAAAATATCATCCTTTCTCAACAACCACTGGGTGGGGTGCGGTTTTCGACGAAAATCGCACGGATAGGGGGATGTTTTACTGACCGCATGGGGCCGGGGCGGTTTGCTTGCAAACCGCACCCCCACCTTGTGATTATATATATATATATATTTCCCCGCATATGACCCATAAGTTGTCTTGGCATAATTTGATTAGTTGTTTCTTTGTGTGCAAGAAGTCCTAGGTTCGAAACCCCATCATCCCATATTAAATATTTTTATTTAGTAGAGATTAAAAAAGCAGCATGTTGTAGTGGTTCGAACCCAGATAATAAATAGTTAACTAAATTTAGCACACATCTACACCATCAGACTACAACTCTCCTGTTAAACAATTTTGCACAAGTACATGAGAAATTTTACAATGTTATATAGTATTGGTGCTATAGGGTTTTGCCTTTATGGTACAACTTAAAATTGTACATTTATGTTATGGTACAACTTCAGATTGTAACTATACTTTTTGTACAAATTCTTTTATGGTACAACTTGAACTTGTACCTTTATGTGATTGTACAACTTCAAGTTGTAAAGTTGTACCATAACATAATAGTACAAATTGCTTTATGGTACAACCTAAACTTATACATTACTATATAGCATAGTAGAAGTGCTCCAAGTACATATTGACAAAGTTGTACTACTTGGATGCTAAAAATCATCAGTAACTTTGGACGGCCATCACTTTATGCCCCAAAATCCGAACATCATGATTTTTTTTTTTGAATCCACATAACTTTTCATCTTCCTTCTTTGGTCTACCTCCTCCTCATGGCAATAACCGTTGCCTTCATCTTCCTTCTTCTCGTAATAACCCTTGTCTTCATCTTCCTTCTTCTCGTTTCCCCATCGGCTCATAGATTGGCCCTTGCCTCATGGTACTCGTCATCTAAGGTGTCTGCATCATTGAATTCATAGACATGGAACACTTCTCGTGCAACAGAAGCAGCCTCATCCTCTGCTGCAAAGTTAGCATGCAAATCTGCCGGTCGATCTGGATCATTCTCTCTTACAGTTCATCCCAAGAATCAACCATTTGAAGAGAAACAAGACTACTTATATCAAGGTAAAAGTCAGTTATTAAGTCACTAACATAATGTATAAACAATCTTTTATTCAGTAACAAACAAATCAACACAACACCCATCGACCATTATTCTATGATAGGATTTTCACAAGGCAAGGAGGCAATGACTATTCTACCCAGGCATTGGAGGTGCTCACCATCGGATTCAGGGGCAAACTCGTGAAAAGAAGATAACCAGGGGGGCAGTGGTACCTTTTGGAATCTGCTATGTCGCTTTCCTACCTTTACAACAAGCTATGTAGTACAAAAAAGAAACAAAAATGAGCCCAAAAATCTTGTATAATAACCTTTTATCCAAAATCGAAGGCACAACAATAGTATTTGAAGAGTACTTAGAACTCACTAGTCACAACAAACGAAGAGACCAGAAATCGAGCTTCTACAGTGGGATTAGGGTTTTCGAGAAAAAGCTTCCTTCGGTTTCCTAGGCTTCTTCGGAGCCTTCGTCATTACCAGAAATCTTGGGTTTCGTCGGGAAACGATCATTGTGGGTCTATTACGCCGTTGTATGCATGCACGACTTCGTAGGGGAAGGAAGGCGATGGTGTGGATGGATGTTTGGATGACAGTGTGGAGTGGGGATAGGGATTTCTTGGTGGACAGGGCATTGATCGAAAGAGGTGTGATGGTTATCGGAGGTAGATCGTGGCCAGGGATGGGATTGAAGCCTCGTCATCTGTCGTGGCCAGAAGACGGAGAGACGAAGTTGGGAATACGTAGAGGAGACGAGGAAATGGACCGGTGTTCAGCTGAGTCGCTTTATGATTTATATATTTTTTAATTTTATTTTGTTGTGTTAATCCACGTTGGTTGGTGGGACAATAAATCGCCAACTTAACATTTTTCGTCAGTCCAGTCATGCTGTTAACTGACACCGCAAGCTGGCGGGCTCTATTTTTTATGAGATTATAAAATTAATTATTGCATTTATATTGACAGTTGAGATGGATGCTTACTATGGACATTGTCTGGTGTATGATAGACGTCGCCATATATAATTTCCATTTACACATACTAGTTGCATTTTTTAGTGGGGTCGGTCACTTGGTCGGTTTCTCCCACAAGTAGGTCACCCTTTTTGTTTTATATACTACTAGTGTCCTAGATGTGCAAATGTATTGGATTGGTGGATTCATGAATAAAATGAATTTGATCAAATGGATTGGTCAATTGAATCATTAATCTAATTGACATATAAACATTGGACCACTTAAATTTTGAAAAGTTTAAGTATTAAAATATCATAATAAAAATATTAAGGTACGTATTTTGAAAGATATTATTTTCTTAATAAACAAACTTTAGGTATCAAATTATAAAATATAACTACTAATCGGTAATTTCTACAATTTTTAGGTGTGAGCAACAGGACGGGACGGGTATCCCGTCCCGTTTGAAACGGGTACCAAATACCATTTGAACAATCAAGTCCATGCCATGTCTCAAACCCATAAGGATTAACGGATACCCATTACCAGTACGGGATGGATAACTGGTACCCAAATTACCCGTACATACCCGTCCAATTGAAATGGTCGAACACGTGCTCGGTGAACAAGGCTTATAAGCTCCTCCACCACCTCCACTCTGGTTGCTGCCTCTACCTTCCAAATGCAGCTGCTCCGCACGCACTGCTACCCTACTGCTTTTGAGCAGTAATCGTCATCGCCGCCAGCGCATGAATTGATCCGCTCCGAGTCGCCGTAATGGTGGTTGTTTCTCCCGGAGACATCGCGGCTGCTCATGCGTGCTCAGTCAAGCGTGACACACATTTACTAATTGTCCACAAAGAAATACAACAAGATATGCATAAGAAACCATGGTTATCAGAGCGAGCACAGTAATTACACTAAAGGAGACTGACTCGCTTGTACCATCACACTAGAAAGTGGCCAAGTGTAACCACAAACTAATGCGTAGTATAGCGAGTTTAGCTTTATTTGTCAACTCGAGTCCTAGATGTGATGACTACTTTGTGAGATTCTTGTTATCTAGGTGTTTAAGTGTAGTGAAGTTATAACTAACCTAAGCAAGCAAAAAGCAATAAAGTTTTGGTTCGAGTTCGAGAAAGGTCAGCCGGATATGGTTCCCCCTAAATTGCAGTTAAGTTTAGTTGTAATTCACCAAGTACAGATATCATGATAGTTATACCGTGGAAGGTTCTTATTCAGTCTGAAGTTTCAACTAAAGGTCTTCAGACCCTCACAGTCTGAATACCCGGCGGGCGACTAACCTCCACGGAGTAAACGAACTGAAGCCCTAACGTGCAAAACCTCATCTACTATAATAAATCCAGTATAGAGCAGTGAATTGATTTCTTGACTAAAGTAGTCAATTCACCATCTTCAATCAAGGATGCTCTATCAACCTAGATAGATATTCTCTTTCTAGGTCAAAGCAGAAACTACAAGAATGTGATCAAGATTCATGCAATTCAGAAATCATACCTCAATCGAATATAATCAATATCAAAATATCATGTACTTGGGTTCATACAACCAAACCTAACATACAAATCTAGGGTTCTTCATACCCAAGTGAGAGAGAGCGAGTTTACTCCATAAAGAGAGAAGAGAAATCAGCTTCAGATGTAGAAATCATTTTGTGAAGGATGAAATTCAACTTCTAGTTGTCAATCGGCATTTCTCCAGGCTTCAATAGAGCTCCAATGTCGTGAAAACTCGATCTATGTCACCTTAGAGGTAGGGTTCGTCACTTTCCCTCTCCAAAACTCTGTTTCTTCCTTTAAAACTTGGATTATAGACCAACAACCCGAAATCTGCTTGTAACAACCCCAGCTTCCGAAACCCGATCCAAATACCCGGTCGGGTATTAAGGGAACCGGCCTGGTGTTAGCAAAAAGACGCGCATCAGCTGGAGAAAATACCCGACCTTGGGTGAAAATACCCGGTCGGGTATTTAGGGCTCTCGACTGGGGGGTCGTCTGATCCTCCGGGTTGAAATATTAGGCCTGCGGCCACATTTACCCGGTCGGGTATTTAAGCGACCTGACCGGGTATTTTGCCTTCCAACTCCTCCTTGTCGCCAATTCTCCGTTCTCGACCCAAAACTCGCTTCCAAGCCTCCCTTTCTGCTCCAAGTCCTGAAACATTACACAAAAGCACAACCTAGCGTGAAATGGACATATAATACGAGAATTGACTCTCAAACGATTCAAGAATAGTGAGAAAAACATGTGCAAATATCGGTTTATCAGATACCAACCTTCAAATGATGGTACACCTTAGCACTTATCTTCATGGCTTCCTTGAATGTGGAAGATTCAGTGGGAAATATCATGAACTCCTGCATAGCGAGCTTGTTTCTAGAATGTGATCCACCATTGATAAGATTGAAAGCGGGAACAGGAAGCACCGGCTTTGAGTTGCCAGCAAGGTTTGCAATGTGCTACATACAGAAACCATGTAGATTTATCATTCACATTTTACAACAGATCATAAGTTTTAACGGGTAAATTATCTATACATAGTTAACGGGTAGTACAGGTACCCGTAATATCCAAACAGGTATTAACGGGCAATCCGCGGGTACCCATTATAGAATTTTTCAGTCCCATGTCTCATCCCGAGTATTTGGGTACCTGTAACCCTAAAAAAAGGAAACGAGTATGAGTATGCCTAAATACCTGTTTCCCCGTTGCTCACTCCTATTAATTCTATTGAATTTAAATCAAATTACTTAAATTTAATAAACTGCATTAATTGAATTTTTAAATCGAATCAATTGGTGAATTGAATTCAAAATTGCAAAGTCTCCTAAAACTCATAAACCCACCCGGATTCTAGTGTGCAGCGCGGTCAACGGGGTACTGTCTGTCAAAAACATCGGCCCCAAACTGAAGCAGCCACCAGTCCAGTAGCAGAGTAGCATCAAAGCTAGAAGAGGCGGTGAGATTAATAAACCAACAAGAAACCGCGTCGATCGGATCTAATTGTATTTGTATTATTACCATCATCTTTAGTTCTTTACACACAAAGTCCATGTGTCGGTGACACCCCTCGGCCCCACTCCCCACACTCTGGTCCTTGCTTGCTTCTTGCTAGTCCATCCATGTGACCCTGCTCCGCTGCTGCTCTTCCATACTTCCCACTTCCACTCTCTCCCAGATCAGATCCGATCACCTTCTTTTCCTTTCTGCCACTTAAAAAAAGGTGGATCTGTGTCGGTTCCATCACCGAAATATTGGATCTTCTTCTCTTCTTTCATTCCCAGCTCCAAAACCCAGATTTCTTTCACTCCCCATTTCCAATTAAACTACTTGCCACGCAGCCACCATCAATGGCGAGATTCAGGAAGCTACTCTTGCTCTCCTTCTTCTTCTTCTTGTTCACCTCCCCCCTCTTCCTCTCTGCATCTTCCTTAGACAACGATGAGCAACCACAACTGCCCAAGAAAAAGAGCAGCAGCCTATCATCATCACAAGCAACACCAACCACCAAGCTTTCCAAATCTACTATTTCCTCTGCTAACAAGAACCAAACCATGAAACTCATGAAGAAGACTACTACCAACTCTGCTGCTATCGGAGATACTCTTTCTTCTTCTTCTTCTTCGAGTGGTAAGAAGAACCAGACCAAACTTGTTACCTCCAAATCCTCCAACTCTACTAAATCAACATCACCCACCAAGTCCAAGGCCAGCAGCAGTAGCGATTCTCTACTCACCACGAAGAAGAAGCCCTCCAATTCCACAGCTGATACTGCTCAGCTCATCAAGAAGAAAGACAAGAAGCAGCAGCTCAATTCCACTTCCACTCCCACACCCACCAAAATCAAAACCCTAGTTTCAGATCCATCAATCAAGCAATCAACTTCCCCCAAAAACAAAACCACCACCAAATCCCAAACCCTAACCCCCAAACCAGATCCGAAAACTAACAACAACAGCAACAAGAAGCCAATTATTACCAAGGCGAAGCCGCGCTCGCCGCCGAGCTGGATCGAGCCAGACCAGGACGACGACGATTTGGTGTCGGAGTTCAGAGATCTGCCCTCCAAGTTCCACCAGCACCTCATCCCCGACCTGGAGCGGATCTCGCTCACCTCAAGGAAGTACCTGAACCAGGCCAACAAGGAAATCACCAAAGGATTCAAGCCTTACGTGGGGAACAAATACGCCGCCACGGTCGCTTCCTTCGTCTCCTTCGCCTTCATCCTCATCCCTCTCCTCCTCGTCTCCCTCGTCGTCAACCGAATCAAGGCCTACTTCTCCCTCCAGAAGCTCCTCATCTTCGTCCAGGTCTACCTCGCCATCTACTTCGCCATCCTCTCGCTCTCCGCCCTGGCCACGGGGCTCGAGCCGCTGCGTTTCTTCTACGCCACCGCCGGATCCACTTACTTCTGCCTCATGCTTCTCCAGACCTTGGCGTACCTGCTCTACCTCGTGTTGCTCCTCATTTACCTGGCTCTCGTCTTCTCCCCCGCCGCCGGCGGGTTCGGCGGGGCCGGGATGGGCCCGAAGATGCTGGGCCTGATCCAGGCACTGATGGGCTTCGCCGTTGGGCTGCATTTATACGTGGCGGTGTTTCATAGGGTGCTGCTCCACCAACCGCCCAAGACGAATTGGAAGGTTCACGGGATCTACGCCGTTTGTTTTCTGGTTGTCTCGCTGCTTGCCGGCGCCGAGAGGAGGAAGAAGGCTTACTTGGAAGAAGGCGGCGAAGAGGGCAAGGTTAACTGAATTGAATTGGTCCCTCAAATTACACTATTTACCCCAATTAGTCCTCAGATTTCCCCTGTTTACATCTTTTAGTTCCTTTCTCTTTTTTTTTTTTTCAGTCTGTTTGTAATTTATTTCGACAAAACTCAAAAGAGGGGTCATAAGGGCGGGGCTGATTTGGTCCCACGAAGTAGAAATAGGTGCTTCATTGGCCGCAATGAAAATCATTGCTGCCTTTTTAGTCCGAATGGGGGAAGTAAAAGGAAAGCAGAGATCTTGTTACAGAAACACACATGAATGAATTTTGTAAAAGTGTATCTCAGTGGCCCAAGAAAATTTCAATCATAGATAGAAACAATAAAATAAAAAGTTTATTATTTTGTCTGTCTGTCTCGCTTTGCATCTGATCAGAGAAACCCACCTGCGTGATTCTGTACGTTGAGCTCTCTTGCATGCTCTGACTCGCGCAGCAGGTTGATATTGGCCGGATCTTATGGTCTGTAAATATTGGTCGGATCCGGTGTCAAAGATTAGATCTGATTCCATTTGTGAGTTCAAGTACGGAATCAATTTGTCGGTGGTGTGAGGAAGAGGAAGAGAGAGGCAATTGTGGAGCAGCCGATCAAATTTTGTCCCACTACCAGCGAAGAAGGATGTACCCTCGCCGACAGCAGCATGTGAAGGTGAGGGGATTCGAACTAAATATGAAAAGGGCTTTTTCTTTAGCAGCACTGGTCCATCTGGGAATTAAATAGTCACCGACGGCTTAGGATTTTTGAGGATGACAGAGTCGAGGAGGAGGATTGTGTCGGTGGGCAGGATCTCCTAACCAGCTCAAATATAAAATTGATGTCAGCAAGTTGCTGTCTAATTGATAGTACTGCACTGATACTGAGAAAGATGCAGAATCTAGAGCGAACTTGAGATTGAATTGAGAGATGGAAGAAAGTTACATATTCAGGGCTCTTGTTATTTGATATTCCTGATCAATGCCCAAGAAAGTTACATATTCTGTTCATAACCCTGCAACTCATGATTGGTCGAATACCAACTAATCCCCACACGACTACTGAACTATGACATGTTCATAAACCCACTAATACCTCTATCTATGCTTACAGTTCATAATATCTGGCAATGGCATTAGAACAAAACATATATCTTGCACGGTTTCTGATCTTTCCTTCAAGTGTAATCCTATATAGCAGACAGATACTTACATTTACTAAATCCATTTCTTCATCTTGGAACTGGCATTAGTACCCAGCCACTCCATGAACTGAACTCTAACTCTCTAAGGATCAGTCCATCCATATGAATAAGCCTCACCCGTATCAATTGCGACGCAGGGAATGTGGTGTATGATGGGCCAGTACTCTCCTTTTTGCTTTGCACATTTTGGCTTCAGAAGAGGACACTCGTAAAGTTTCAGGCACCCGAGCGACGGTGGAAGTCCCTCATCTGGTAAAGACCGGAGCTTTGGGCAGTGCCAAATCACCAGCTCCTCTAAACAGTTGAGGTCCATCAAACCCTTGGATATAGACTTCAGCTCGCTGAAGTGTGCAATGTGGATAAAAGTTAGCGAAGTGGGGAGCAACAGCCCTTCATCATCTGGGAAGGAGGCCACCTGAGTACTAGGACATTCACCTACAATTGAGAGTCGCTTCAGCGAGGTAAGCCTGTTAAGCTTCCAATCGGATATTGGCTGCTTGAGACTCTTGCAGTTTGTGATAGTAAGCATGATCAGGTTCAAGGGCAACCCACCTTCCGGAAAGGACTCTAGACTCTCACACAGGATTATCTCCAGAAGTCGAAGAGAGGTCAGGTGTGGCAGTTGATTGGGAAGAGACCTCAAGTTCTCACAGAAAAAGAACCGGAGACGTGTAAGGGTTTGAAGGACGAGCAATTCCCTCTCTGGGAACCTCTCTAACTCTGGACTGTGTGTTATTGATAGTTCAGTGAGCTGAGGGAGAACAGGATGGTGAAGTAGATCTTCAAGAGATTGTGTTGTGAGGCTACAAATTGAAAGATGCTTCAGGGAACCAGGAAATGGACATGTACTAGGTAAAATGGTTAGAGATGAACATCCAGAGATTGTCAATTCCTCCAGTTGAGAAGGCTTCTCAGCATTCCTATTGTCTGCATAGTTCATGTTACTTATGAGGAAGGACTTCAAAGAGTCACAGCATGAAATCCACACACGACTAAGACTGGATGGCAAGCCTCGTTCTGACAAGGAGACAAGCTTTTGACAATTCTGAAACTCAAGTGTTTTTAGATGTGTGAGGTTGTGCAGCCCATCTGGGAATTTCTCAAGTTTTGGGCAGCGATTTAGCAGCAAGAATTCAAGACTGGAAGGAAGAGGCCCTTCTCCTAGAAACATAAGGTCTTCACAGTCATCTATACCCAATTCCTTCAGAGAGGATAGTGCCCCCAAGCCATGTATCATCACTTCTTGCAAATTTACCAGCTTCAAAATCTTCCTGATCCTTAATGTGGTAAGGGACTCCATACTAGTAACATTTCTGAGGATCAACTTGTTACACTCTGTAATAGACAATGCTGAAAGAGAAGCAAGAGTTTCAGGTAAATCAGCCATCTGTTGGCACCCTCTAATATTGAGTCTTTGGAGGCAAGGTAAGGAGTTCGGTAAATTCCCGATCAACTTGGGGCAGTTACCGATTGTCAGCTCAACCAACTTTGGGAAACATTCAGTAGGACAAGACCATTTTTCCCACTCTGGCATATCCTCTATGCATAGAGTCTCCAATGCGGGAAATACACAAGGTAAAGATGAACCAGTGCAAATATTATTTCCATAAAACTCACCTCCGATTTCTTTCACTTTATCCATTCCACTTAATCTCAGAGTTGTAAGCAAGGATAGCTGTCCGAGTAGAGGAACTGACCTGATTTTACGACAGTTCAGGAGCTCCAAATGCACCATAGCAGCAAATGTGGGATCTCCAACCCATACTGGGAACTTCACACCGCCGTAAAACTTAATTGAAAGCTTTTTCAGCTTCCAGTGAGGTCGTAGTAAGTTCAAGACCTTTACCTCAACTGTTTCATCGTGAGAACATTGGGAGTCAGTACACCATTCCAAGCCTAAATCATCCAAATCTTGTTTGCCTTTTAAATCAGCAACCTCTGCATCTTGGATATTCATAAAATTACTACACAGCCCCTGTATGTGAAGCTTTCCCTGAAGTTGAGGCAAATTCTTCAAGTCCACTATCCGAAACCCCTTCCCGCCCTTCCCGACCAAAACCTTAGGCAAAATAGTCAGATTTGTCAACTTAGCTACCTCTGCCGGAAGCTCTTGCAAGCTGACTGTATTGCTGTTGTCAAGCCACTGTAGATTGATCAGATTGCCAATACTTCGTGGCAGCTTTACAAGGTTCTGGCACCCATGTAATCTTAAAGTCTGCAAGTTGAAGAGCTCGCCTACCAGTTCAGACAAGCCGACAATGTCAGTGCCTGACAAGTTAAGGTACCGCAATTGCTTCAGAGTAAAAACCACATCAGGTAACTCTTCCATTTTATAACCAGCTAATGAAAGTACCCTCAGATATTTTAGTTTTGGCACCAACTCAAGCAGCACTTGGTAGGATAAGAAGTCATCTGAATAAGTTGTAAATGGCAATGCTGAGAGTGATCGCAAGTTCTTCAATTTAGCAAATACTCCAAATCTTTGTAATAAGTCATATTTGTGACGCCTGAAAGAGGAATAACGAACTGTCGGGAATGACACAGTGTCTTCCAACTTGTCATCCAACCTCAAGCATATCCCTTTGCTCTCATACTCTGCTAGATCATTCATCAAGTCGTGCATGGTGAACCGAGATGGGTTGTCACGTCTTCTAAAAGAATATGAATTGTCATTTGCTTGCTGAAAGAATGATCTTGACAATAGATCATGGAAATATTTGTGGCCCAAGTTCTTTGCAGACTTCTCAGAATGTTTTCGCAGAACTAGAAAGCCCTCTGCCAGCCACAGTAACACCAACTCATCTTCCTCAAATTCCATGTCTTTTGGAAGTATTGCACAATAGCCAAAACATCGCTTCAGGTTCGAAGGAAGGTGATGATAGCTCAACCTCAAGGCAGGAAGAATGCCATTGGTCTCAGGCAAATCCCATATTTTGCTGTACAACACTTCTTCCCATTGCTTGGGATTCTGTTTACCTCGTAACATCCCGCCAAGGGCCTTAATTGCTAATGGCAAACCTCGACACCTTTTGACAATCTCCTTTGCCATCTCTTCGAGATATGAGTGTGCTGTGAACGCTGTTGTTCCCAAAGCATGATCAGCGAATAGATGGAGACAATCATTGAAAGCCAACTCCTTGAGAAGATAAGGTGGAAAGGTACCCATGATCGATGAAACACTACTATTACGAGTGGTAACAAGTATTTTGCTTCCAAGAGCTCCAGTTTCAAGTGGAGCTCGACAAAGAACCCATTTCTGGTAGTCCTCATTCCAAACATCATCCAGAACAATTAGAAATTTCTTCCCGGACAGCTTCTCCTTCAACTTCTCTTGCAACGAATTTAAATCATTACAACCAGAACCATCTGAACCTAGAATGGTCTTGGTTATCCTATGGACATCAAAGTCCTCACCAACTGAAACCCAAGCTATGACATCAAACTCTGATTTTGCTCGGCTAAGCACCAGCTGCGCAAGGGTGGTCTTGCCAAGTCCCCCCATACCAATTATAGGAATCACTGATACATCTACATCAGTTTGATTAGCTCTCAAAAGCTCCAAGATCCCTAGCCAATCTTCATCTCTCCCATAAACTTTGCTCTCATTTACCAGAGAAGTCGTTGGTAATCTTTCTGCTGTCGTTGGTAGCCTAGTCCCAACAATCTCCTTCAAATCCAGGTGATTCTTCTCTGCGCTGATCTTCTGCAATCTAACAGTAATTTCTCGAACCTTCGACACCATTTCAGCATTGAACTTAAGGGTTCTGGGATTGATAGCAGAAAAACATGTGGAGATTAGTTTCTGAACCTTACTTGTGCTAGCTGAAGCAGTTTCTGCTTTGATCTTCCTCTGCAATTGCTCCGTAGCAAAGGAATCAAGCACATCCTCTGCATCGTAAGCCAAATCTCGAAGCTCGGTCGCCCAGATGCTCACCAATCGGCTGGTCATCTGCTTCTCCTCGGCATCATCAAGCACTGCATAGATCTTCTTCAATAGACTAGCCCAGCAGTTGAGCTCGGCCACGACTTGGGCTTGACGGAAGTACTTGAGAAAGTCGTGCGAACCCAGCTTTTCGATCAGCAGCTTCAATGACTCGGACAATAAAGCTCCGCCAACAGAAGCCACAACCTCCATCTCTGGCGACAACGATCAGCTCAAACTGGCTCCGTAATGCGACTAAGAGAGAAAAAACTAAAAAAGAAGAAGGGGAGAAAACAAAACTGCAGGAAATGAACAAGCTTGGAAAATTCCCGCACAACTTCTTCTTTTGGCCGCGACGACTTTGGCGGCAAGGGTCACCTGTGCGTCTTCTTCTTCCCAGGAAAAGGCAGTGAAGTACTGAAGGAGTAGTGGAGTAGCAAATTCTCTCACGCGCCCACCGGATGACCGGAGAGGCCGGTAGCAGCAAAATAATCATTCCGGTCACTGTATTTATTATGAATCGCTATTTGCCGCCCGTAGTTTTACTATTTATCGCCCGTAGTTACAAAAAATATGACAAATTTGCCCCTCCTTCTAACTAACCCTAAATCCTATCAAACTCATCCCTCACAACCTCTTCCCACAAACTACTGGCGGCGGCGACCGCTGCTCCCACCGCCGACCCCTCCACCGCTGCTCCCACCACCAACACCTCCATTCCTCCGACCCGGTCCGCCGACCACTCCATTCGTCCGACCTCACTCGCTCCCCTCACAAAATCGCGGACGTTGAAGAGGAAGGAGCTCGCCACGGATGTTGTCGTCGCCGACGTAGAGGAAGGGGTCCGACCGCCGGACGCGGACGGGGTCCGAAATTCATCGGTGGACCGGTTTCGAGACCCGGCGGTTACTGTTTTTTTTTCGAAAATCGTGTTTGAATTATAATTTATTTATTTAGTAATTAAATAAGTGTAAAATACCATAATAATGATTTAAATAATTATAAATATGATAATTAAGCAAATTAAAGAGAATTTTTTAAGGCAAGTTTTCGAAAGAGGAAATTGAGTAATAAGTTTTGGGAAGAAAATTTCCATAATTAACAACCTCTAATTGTATTTTCCTATTTAACAACCCAACCAACGTAATTTCCTCCCAATACATCTAATGATTATCATTTATTAATATATTAACATCCCAATCCAAATAAGTTAACAACTCAATCCACTTATGGTAGTTATCAAACACGTATGAAATACAATTTATTAATATATTATTTTGACCATAGTTGATTGAGGGAATTAGGGTTTGATTTAATTAGGGTTTGACCCGAATTAGGGTTTGACTTAATAATATATTATTTTGATCACAGTTGGTTTAGGGAATTAGGGGTTGACTTAATTAAGGTTTGACCATAGTTGAAATAATCTCACCCAAGATGACAGATAACAACAATAAGAATCAACTCGACTCAACTGGACCAATAATGACAATAAAGAAGGAAAGCATCTCATCCACCTCCTATACCTTATACTCCTCCAAAACCCTAAACCCTCATTCCCCTTGAATAGCTACCTTCAACCTCGATCCATCCAATCCTGCTAGGAAATTATTTTAGAGGCAAAATCATCTCTTCCTCCACTAACAATAATATTTCGTCTTGTGGAAATATACGTGATAGGCTCAAGAAATTCCTAGTTACCACCCCCAGAGCCCTAAAAACACCTCGATGAAAGTTTTGGCACTATTCATTTCTTTTTGTCGGGAATGTCCGATTGATAAACAATCGATTCCAACACATTTGTATCCACATTTTAAGAGATCGATGAAAGTTTCAATAATTTTTCATGTCGGTGACTCTAGTAATTGCTAAAAGATGTTTTTGGCCGACCTTCCTCGAGCTGCAAAGAGTCCTCTTCGTGCCTCTATTCCTTAGAAGTTTTATAAAACATAGTTTAGGTACGATGATCTTACTAAATATGAAATAAATACAATTAAAGAGGTTTAATCAAAATTTATAAATATTTTATAACTATTATACATAATTAAAATGAATTATTCATAAGTTTATACAATATTTATGATAATTTATGATTAAATATCCATTCTCTTATACACTACTTCAGATAATTTGTAATTATTTAACATACTATAATTATTTAATTGCTATTATACTTAATTTATTTATTTTAGCTCTATTTACATAATTAAAAAATAAGTATGAATTAGTTTGTACAATATTTTATATAATTTAATTTTTTTCTTATGAATAATTTTTAGTTTTTCTAATTCATAAATATAATTAATAAACATACATATAATTATTAACATGATATAATAATTAAAAAAATAGAAGATTGAGTTAAATAATTATTATCATTTAGCGACGAGTTTTGTGACGGTTTTGAAACCGTCGCTAAATGCACGGTCCTCCCGCCGGCGTCGGACGGTGTCGGCCCGCAGATGGTAGAGTGGCGGCGACAGGTGTGGTGGTTTAACGGCAGTGGTGGTCGGCCGGCGATGTGCTCTGGTGGTGGTGGTCTGCCGACGATGGTGGTATGGTGATAGTATGAGGGTGATGGAAGGAGTATTGATAGGGGTAAAAAAGTCATTTTAACTTAATATACGGACGGCAAATAGTAATGACATTGTTCCCAGCGGAGCCGGCAAGTCGATGCGATCGATCAGTGATCACGCCGTCTAATTTTCTCTCTGGCTGTTCTCGGCATCTTCTGTCGGAAGAAGTTGCCACCGTCGACCACCATTTATTTAGACGGAAGAAATTAGGAGAGCGGGAACGGTCCGGCACCATGAACTGGACCGTTAAGAATTCGAATACAAGTTTGAAATCGAAGATCGTCGGCCACTTTGCCTCCTTCAAATGATCTGCAAGCGGTATATATATGAATGAAATGTACTTCCCACCGATGCTGCCTCATGGAGTTCTAGCTATAGCAGGGTGGGTGCCGTGGTTTGTGATTGCACAAGAACTGCATGGGTAGGACTGGCAATTTGAGTAATACTCGCCTGCCGGGTATTACTCGATCTGATCAGCGATGGGGCGGGTATTACCTGACTCGCAGTTGTGTGGGATAGGGTATGAGTATTTACTTTCGACCTGTCCCCGCCCCGTCCCTTTATTGGCTCATTCTATGTCATTTTCTTACCGTATCTATCATATTTCTACTATTTTGAGTTTGTTTAACTAGTTAAGTATGATCTTTCAACTAGTTAGAGTCAATTACCCGTTTCATTTTCTTACCTCATTTATTCATATTTCTACTATTTTGAGTTTGTTCAACTAGTTAAGTATGATCTTTCAACTAGTTAGAGTCAATTACCCATTCTATTATCACTAATATTCATTCGTAAAGTGTTTTTCTCTTCGTTTTATCGTAAAAAGTAAAATTGTAAACGTATTTTTATTAAATAATATGTTTGAATGGGTCGACCCACCCCACCATGTACCTGTGTGAGTATTACCCGCCCTGACTTCGGAATAGCATGAAAAGAGGCATGGGTATTGAGGTAACCACCCGCCCAATTACCACACTATGCATGCATTGATGCTTAGATCTTGATTCTTGTCCCCTTTGTTATATTGATTCTTAATTATTAGTTGGTAAAACAAAATAAGGAATCCTCGACTCAGGTGGCCACATAAACAGCCATCCCACCTACCAATTGGAAAAATAAAAACATTTACCAAACATAAACTGCAAACTAAGATTGTGAAACGGCTGGGAAATTTATTGGTAAGGTATATTCTAAAATTGTAGTTTTATTGTGATTTAATTGTTTCAAATAACCTATTCATTCGCGTATGGTATTAGGTATTGTCGATCTGACCGAATAGTAGAATACGGTTTTCAAAATATAGCTTCAAGTTCATTTTTGTTTCATTCACAGATTGAATACGAAGTGTGAAATTTTAAGAAGCTCAGCTGAATATTGAGTAATCCCGCTTCTTTTATACTACTACGCATCTTAATTAACAAAATTTAGAGTTCATGCAGCTAGTACACGTGAACTAGCCTACATGCCGCCATTTACTTTAAACAAACGACAGTTAGTTGGGTAATTAGTTGAGGTGACTAAGGGGAACACAGACAGTCTATGGAAACAGGTGATGGTTTAACAGATAAACTTTCAGTGCCTTGTAAACGATACCTTCACTCAAAGGATGCAATATCCTTTATGGAGGCGGAAGAAAATGAGGTTGCTTATACTAATCGACATAGGTAGTAATTAATCACACTTTCTTGAATGAACAAAAAAAATATAGAACTGAGTATATATGCCGTGATACTTGCTACTCCGATCCACTTAGAGTCAAACTAGTTAGTTGATGGTATTATCTTGATAAGCAATTTGATCTGCAAGCAACTTAATTATGTGGGAAGTGAAGGTCATCAAGTCTCTTTTGATGTGAGAATGCTCAGTCTGGTATCTAACGACATGGTTCTAGGGTTGGATTGGCTCAAGACAATAAGTACCATGAAGTTTGAATTTGTACAACTCCAACTGTTTTTTGAGCTGAATGGAGAAGAGGTCTCATTACAAGGGGTACGTATAAGAACTTGGCGTGTAAATCAGGATTGCAAAAGTTCTTTCTTTAAGGAGAAGGTTCACACTTGAGCTGGCCAGTGTTAGAAAATCTAGAAGCTGAAAATCAAAACGAACAGATTTACGTGGTTTCCGGCACTGCAGTGAGCAATACCGACTAGTCCACGGGGAAGATAGGTATCTTATTCAGCTTAAACTGCACATACGGTTACATATGAGTATATATACTACTCAAGTCCTAGCAAACCCTAGCTTCTGTAGACTACGCTAGGTTGCATGGGCATGGGCTCATTAACTCAACATGATACACAAATGGGCCATCCAGGCCAAACCGAGACCCCTAAACCCAACTGGTCTAACATCCTCCCCCAAATTGATGCCGGTCACGAAGCATCAATTTGCCAGCCAGATACCAGTGACGACTAATGGGAAGAGCCTTGGTGAGAAGTCAGCAATTTGATCGTCAGAGGTGATGTAGTGTAACCGAAGAGCACCATCACGGACCTGGTCACGAACATAGTGAATGTGAAGCTCAATGTGCTTAGTCCGGTCATGTAGCACAGGATTAACGGCAATCTGGATGGCACTGGTGTTGTCCACATACAAGTCAACAGTAGGCGGACACCGAACACCCAACTCAGTAAGGATTCGAGCCAGCCAGACAACCTCAGAAGCAACTTCAGACATAGACCGGTACTCAGCCTCAGTGGATGACTTCGCGACACGATCCTGTTTCTTGCACCGCCAAGAGATAAACGACTGCCCAAAACGAACACACCATCCCGAAGTGGAACGGCGAGTATCAATACACCCA